TTATTTTTGGTATCTTGTTTGTCAAAAACTAATGTACACGTCTCCCCATCAATAGGTATCGAATGTTATTTGAATTATTCAAATCGGTTGAACGGTGCGCCCGAAATCGTAGACGAGAAATCTTATCCATATATATCATTAATGTACATGAAATATAATCATTACAGTAAACAGTTATAAATGTTACGTGTGCTTATTAGTGTTCCTGGTGCATTTTGTTATTTTAGTAAACCAATTATTATATGGAACATACAATTACAATGCGTACTTAACACTATTAAATTACTAGTTTTTTTATCGATATATTCATGTCATATTTTAAATATGACTCTACTGTTATATTTTGATTTAATTAGATTAGTCGCAACTGTTTTCTTCAACATTACAGTAAAATAAAAGTTCAAATATTTACTATTTTTTTAACTTCACGTAGATATAGGCAAAAAAATCTAAAACAATTTTTTATGCTTATCTATCGCGATTATCAGCTAACGTATCGCGATTGCTTGCAAAAAAGTTCAAAATTTCCAAAATATTTCAAAGAATAAGAAAATCAAATTCAAAAATCAGAAAGGTCATTCTTTTTAAATATTTTAAATATAACAAATCGATTTTTTTCAGAGTTCTAAAAGAAAATTGAATCGTTTTCAAAAAAAAAAAAAATTTGGTATGGAAAGTCCAGCAATTTGCCTTAAGGCACGATGCCATGCACCACCAATATATTAAAAATATGTATTATTTTGCGTTCTGACATTGAAACTGCCTTTGTACAATAATATCGATTCTTATTTGTGCACAGTCATCTTGGTTTCTCCAATTTAAAACCACTTAGATATTTTGTCCACTAACGTAAAATAGTATATAAAATAAAAATTACAAACGAAATGAGGCCTCGTCGCTTTTTATTTCTATATGCATATACTTGCATAAGGTTTACAGGTGTGTAGGTAAATAGTTCCGCGTACAATTGTTTGAATAAACAATTGTCCTCTTTTAAAATTGCTTTTTGTTATTCAAAACACGATTCTCGTTAGAATTTCAATGGATGGATGGTGTGCTTGTAGTCAGGTGTGTGCCGATCGAAACTGGCATTGTTTGTGAATATATTTGTGTGCATGTATTTTTCTTTTCGATAAAAAAACAACTAAATAACAATCTGTAATAAAATATACGTAAAACAATTGGTAACTGCAAAATCTGATTGTATTAATTGCTTAGATTGTGAGTCATTCTGCACGAGCCATTTGTTGCGAATGAAATGCATTTTTATGCACTGAAATTTTTATTTCTTACATTCAATATTTTAAATCGTCTGCTTCTTAAATTACCAAGGTCTTTGAGTTATCAAAATTAAATAAATTAACACTTTCGACTCGTATGCCGCCGTTCCGACGGCAAAATTCATATAAATCTCAGAATTCGCGAGTGGAAAGGGTTAATATGTAACATATTTTGATTTACTTATTATATATATTACGGACTCCTGTGGACGAGGTCGTAAGTTCGAACCCCGCTCTGGTCAACCTGATGTCATGCAGTATCGATGTTCACTTGAAAATATAGTCAAATATGTTTCCAATTAAAAATAACCCATTTCGGACAATGGGGTATCTCTCACACTATTCTCTGAATCGAGTTGGAGTTTAACTCATCTCATGGACCTGTCTTAGGGTAATTCTACCCATTATTTTTATTATATTTCCATATCATAAGTTCTATAGAAGTTCACATACAAGAAGGCGATTCACAAGGGTTTTGTGCAAATGTTTGATATATAAACACGTTTTTGTTTTGTTGTAAAAATCTCATTGATCTTTTTTGTGGATTTTTATTTCGTCAATCTTTGTACAAAGTTACTTTTTTATATTAGCAAATCAATGCTAAATAATTTAAAAATTTTCTTATACTGTATGGGACTAAAACATACCATTTCTGTTAATTTTCCTATTTCTAATAATTATTCCTATATTCATCTCTTGAGGCAGTGGTTTCCAACCTTTATAAAAACTCCCTTATTTTCTAAATATTATGCCTCCATATTTTTTCTAACGATTTAATATCATAAAAATTCAACTGATAATTATAATATGTAATCTTTTTTTAGCACGATTTTACCACTTATTGGTTTATAATCCAAATTAGCTATTTTAGAAATAATTGCATAACTTCTCTTGCAACTGGTTGCAAATTGCTGTTTTAAGGGTTGATCCACGGATAAATACATATTAATTTTGATAAATTTCAATTAATATTTAAATATGCTTCTAATAAACGTATTTATTTTATTTAAATTAAAATAACAAATTAGTTCAAGTTTAAATATTTGCAACTAAAAATTAGTTTACTTCAATTATTCCAATTGCAAATTTATTTTGTTACATTATTAATACCTTTTATAGCTAAATGCTATAAAATATATAATCAGTTCTTCAATTGTTCTTCAAAATTAAATCCTACTGAAATTAAAAAAAATTAGCGAACATATAATTTTTCATTAATTATTCAGATCATTTTGTTGTGTTCAATGCATTGCCTCCTTGCCGACCAATTTAAAACCTAAATATTTAATTAGAAAATATAATCATTGTTGTTGTAACGTATTGGAATTTTATATGAATAATTGATTCAATAATAAATGAATCAAATATTTATTTAGCAATCGGAAAAATTCCTACAAACTAAATTGAAAATTTCTATTTTTATTTTATGCAATGATTTCTAAATTCTTTAGGATTCTAAATATCCAATGGATTTTTGAATTAACCGGGTTATTTATTTAGTATCCATACCTTCTTCTTCTTTCTTCAAACTATGTGCTTGAATTGTACACTTTAACTACACTTGTTTTGTAAAGCAATACAATTCCTTAATCATTAGTAAATTGTAATGTAACAAATTTTAATATTGACATGATATAATTACTTGGGCTTTTATATGGTCTTTTATATGGTTTCTAAGAAATGGTATTCGAAGTATACTGAAAGTGATCAAAAAGCAGCCCTCCTAATGTTACGTAATCCTCGACGACCCCAATCTGATAATTTGTTCTTGACATACATTTAATAGAATGGCGTTGCTATCTTCTAAGAAGACTTAATATTATATAACTTATTTTACATATTACTAGATGGAGAGCCACGGACGTGTATTACATTCCAAAATCTGCTAAAATAATTAAAGATTATTTTTTAAACTATTTCCATCTGAATTTACAAATATTGAAAGGCTAATAATATTGAAATATATTATTAGCAATTTATCATAATCTTCAGAAGCACTATCATCATAATTAATATCTTGGATAACTTTTTTCTCATTTTGCAGACTAAAATAGAACATCAAATGTAAATTTTCATTCTAAGTTCAATAGATAATCTTAATGGTGTCTATCATGTCTCTGTAATACATGCCTCTCAATATTTTTGGAGATACAATTTTAAGGGTTCTACATAAATCCCAAAGCTGACATCGCAAATAAAATATCTTCTCCATTTATAAGTTTTCCGTTTTTAACCTGGACTCTATGACAGCCTTGGTTTTGCCACCACAGGATCAAGGTTAGATGCCCACTTCGTACACGTTGATATCAAGTAATATTGATATCAGTTCTTCCTTGAATAGATCTAAAACAGGATCTTAAATGGAAATGACTTTCCATGGGACTGTGTGGCAGTATAATAAAATAAATCTTTTAAGAAGGGAAAAGAGTTTACTAGGTTAAGGAATTACATCACAGCCCATAGATCACGTAGTTCTGTTTGCTGTACACAGAAAACATAATGTGTAAATATACACATTTTTACTTGTTAATAAATTATCCTAAGATATGAATTAGTCATTCATTTAATCTCCTTCCTTATTTATCATATTAAACTGGGTCATTTACAATGTAATATCGCCATTGACATGTGGAGTTCATGAGTTGCCGATCTCTGGTGTGAATCATGATAGTGATGTCCATCATATTTTGCTATTTTCAATTTATTTTTATTACTATATATTATACAAAAATGTACAAAAATGCTTACTGTTTTGGATATTGTTTTTCCTTGTGATGCTGTTTCCATATTTATAATTTCATAAAATTTATCATCTGCTCAGATTCATTTTGAGGGTAATTAATTGATCCTTCACATCATTCTTGCTGTTGATTTAGTATTTTGACGTTGCTCACATTATTGATCATTTGATGATCCAATAGTTATTTTTATTGTAAATATAGAGCAATGAAATTGTGCTTAGTGCATCAGCTCTAAAAAGTTATTAAATTAAGAGATTTCTGAAAATTGAATTGGGCCATATATATTGAGCGAATCAGTGAAACAGATTGAAGACGTTTGATGTTTTTGTTTATTTCATGATTCTTGTACGCTTTGCATATAACTTGAACAACTAAACTTAAATATAACTCCATTGATTACTAGATTATTACTGACTCATATTGATATGAACTATTAATGATGTGAACCTATTGAAAACTTGATGATGACTGACTATATTTTGATATGCACTATATTGATGTGAACCTATTGAAAACTTGATGACGACTGACATAAATGCATCATCGCTTGGTATTTATGTGCCTGCTTATATTCGACATTGTAATCGTTGTTCAATGTCACTTCCTAGTGCAAATCTACGCTTTACTTAGTTTTTGAGGCGCAGTTTGTAGTTTTGCGGTTAGAAAGCCGTTATTTCTAAGCACGTGTTGATACAATGTAACAGCATGAGTAAGCATTAGAACTGCGTAGTTTGTATTTTGATCGTTATATAGTAATTTATAATATTATTTATAATTATTACAAAGGGGTGAATACCACCACAATATATAGAGTTCTTCACCTTAAACTTGATCTTTACCTCGCTATCATCACCGTATTATATTTTACTGTTACTTATAATGAAGTATTTAGTAAATGTATTATACTTTATCATGTATCATCTCATATGTGACGTCTACTATATGTTCATGTGTATTTTTCATGTTGTTCGTGTATCAGGAACAAGATTCAAACTCTGCAAATATCGATGTTACCGTTGGCCTGTACAAACCTGAGATATTCTGCTGAAAGCCGTCAATACATCGAACTCATTATCAATAAGCATATTTTTAAAGTATAGTTATAACAAATCTAAGATTTACCATTAAAACTGATCGACAATTATTTATTTTGCTACAAAGAATCCATAGACTCACAAAGGTAAATTTTTATGTTCTTGTAGTTTGAATGCTTTACGCACTGGGGGTTAATTTGATTCTATTTGTAATGGGAAAAGGTAGTTGTGCATGATACACTGAAATTAATTTTCACTTTTATGAAACAGGACTCAAATTTTAATATTTTACACTTTTAGTATAGATCTCTTACACTCTCTTATACTAGTAAATTAAAATTGTTCTTACCTGAGACTGAAAATTTTTGGTAATTCAGCAGAGCATATACTAATAATTATAACAAAAGATTTTAACCTAGAATATGATTAAAATCAAGTGACTAATTACTAACTCGTAACCAGATTCCGACTAATCTGCCTTTGAGATTTGTTTTTAAGCAAATTATTTTTAAACAAATTTTTAAGCAATTAAGCTAATTTTTGTTCGGCGCTGTAATAAATATTAATATTTATTGCACAACTATACAGTAACAATTTTATCTATTTTTTATTCTATAAAATAGATTTGTTCAATACGCTTTCAGTTTTACAAAGACTATTTTTTTGATTTTTTAATGCAGATTTTCAAATAAAAATTCGATTACCATATCACAATCTATTAGATATATATTAGATATTATTATAATTAGTCAGTAATGATGTTTAAGATATTCTACATATTCTGTTTATTTGAGACCACTGTCGAATAAATCCAATTGCATGTCTATTCTAATTCAACTGCACTAAATTAAGCATGTAATAAAATCGTTATATGAAAGTCCAATTTCACCTCTGATAATTCTCAATATAATTGCTACTTACTACTTTTAAACTTCACAGTAAATCAAAAATAATTAATATAAAATTAATTGCACTTTTCTAATTTTATTTTAAGTGCGAATTTCATATCAATGCATTAGCCACTTAAACAATAATAAACTTTCTTATTGGAAGCAATTTAGTGACTTGAAACTGATCTGGTTTCAACTTTCTTAAGAAATTAAAATTGCAATGTAATTTGTACTAGTAGATAAATGTAAAAGTAACGTACAACTATAGCAAAAATTATATAATAATCTTACTTTTTGTACAAATATAAAACAACATACCAAATTGCTCTTGTTGCCGTTTTTAACATTTGGGCACAGTAGTTGAAAGTTACTGCCATTTATCGTTCTGACCAAAGGCAAGATAATTTCTCAGTAATTTCAAAGACTCCGATGGATCACATTTAAATTACTTCTACTATTTGGTCCAGAATATTAATGTTTTTATTTTAGTATTAACTGAGGTGAGATGATTTTACGTGTTTCTAAATTTTTCTGTTTAAAGAATTAAACCAAGTTAAAAATAGTAATAATTGTTTTATTGTAATAGTCCAGTCATTTAAGCTTAAATTAGGTAAGAATCTCGGAATTCGGAATACCAAGGTGTAAACGTTAAAACACTTGTATTTTAAAGTTGTCTCAACTTACATATGTTGCGTACACCCTACCATATGTAGGTTTTGAGACAACTTTTAGGTGTCAATATACAATTATTTACAGCTGGGTATCTCGAATTCCCAGGTGAACTTATGACTGGACTATAAACTTATTTGTATTATCACAGACCGTATTTCTAAACTGTATATAACAACCAATAACACTTTGTATATATCTTATCAAAGTTTTATTGTAATGGAAATCATTTCACGTTTGACATGCTTTGTTTTTTTAACCTATTAGGAACAGTACGTTCGAATGACAATTTCTTTTTCTGATGATACTACTTTCTTTGCACACAAACGTTGAGATGCTTTCAAGTCAAGGCAGCAAAATTAATTTAATCAATTTTCCGACTGCAACAAATTTAATTCTTTTTGCCTTATTTCAGATGCAAGTCGACGACAATTCAAAACCTTTAAGGCCCGCTTATATTCCGAGAAGAGACAAATGTTCTGCATGCAAGAATCCAGTGTTTTTGGCTGAAAGAATATTGGTAGAATCAAAAATCTTTCACCGAACATGTTTCTCTTGTGCCAGATGTGGGGCTCAGCTCAACCCGGACTCATGTGATTATTACGAATGCGAAAGCGGCGAGTACTGTTGCGAATTTTGTGAATCATTTGCTAATTCCGAAAACAACTCGGACTTTACCGGTAAATCTCAACATAGTGATATATTAGCCGAAGAGACCCAAAATATTCAACAAAATGTTGAGATCAATGTTATAGAAATTTCAGACAGTGATCCCAGCTCTGGTGAAGATTTGGACAATATACCGAATGTAAGACGCTCAGTTGTTTCAGATCGCCTGAAGTTTTTCGAAAATAACATGCTTAGTGCATCTGGTGTATCTGGCAAAAGTGCAAGTGATTCTTCTAATTATCAATTTATGAACAATGCTTTGATTGCATCTAATGTGAGTACTGAAAGTGATGTGGTTAGTGAGGACAGTGTTAGTGAAGCTTCAAAGGAAGTTTCAAAAAGTACAATCTCAGAAGACTTAAATGTTTCAAGTGAACCAAATACAGACATTTCTGTTACTTCAGATCAGTCAAAATTAGCATCAAATAATGATTCTGTTCTTACAGTATCTAGTTCTTGTAGCAAACCAATTACCATTTCTAGTTCTAGTTTTGATGATAATTCTAACACTAATATTTCATCTAACAATTCTTTATCCCTTCAGTCCAAGGATGAGAACGAAGGTGGCAGATTTGTATCAACTTTGAATTCTATAGAAAATGATTCCATCTTGAGAAAAGACAATAAAAGCTTTGGTTTAGATGATAGTTTTGTAATTCCGCAGGAAACAAGTGTTCTTAAAACCCTTCCATCAGATCAATTTTCTATTGAACCTAATATTTTTACTGCAAGTACAATAAACGAAAGTGAGCTGAAAAACGATGCAGAAGTTTCTTTGTCCAATGCAGATGTTTCTTTATCCAATGCAGATGTTTCTTTATCCAATGCAGAAGTTGCTTTGCCCAATGGCTTAGAAATATCTAAGAATACTGATGATAAGTTGGTTTCGTCAAATATGTTGGATGAAGTAGAAGTAGTAAATGAAACTTCTGACTTGAAAGTCAGTTTAGAAAATGCATCCAACAAATCTGGCAATGATGGAGCTGTAGAAAAACTGGATGGAGAGAACTTCAAAATCGACGATGATTTAAATAATGAAGAAGAGTATCCAGAGGAACTAAATCCATTTGGAGAAGATGAAAATACATCTGATTTAGGTAATCACTTTATTTTTGCAAGACTATTAAAAAATCAGGCATTTATCATGAATGCATACTACAAATTTTTTTTTGTTAAATACTTTTCATACATTGTTTAACCAAAATAATTTTCCAATAATTAAAAATTGGTAATTCTTTATGGCCTCATTTTTCTACTGTATATAGTAAATATTTGTAAATTTAGTTTACTCCATGAATTGGCTTACCTAAGATATTATAGTTTTTATATACCAACTCTAGTTAAATGCTTAATTTTTTATACATAAAAATTTTGATAAATATATGTAGTTTATTGAACAGTTACGTGTTAAATACCAATTAAAAACTGTTTTCCTAACTTAAATAACAGTAATTTAAGTATCATGTTTTTTATATAAATTATATAAGTTAATGATTATTTTGAGATTATCATACTAAAATGCATCTCTAGCTATTTAATCAATTTGGTTTATATTTAAAATGATTTGTTGTTTTTATGAGATGCTTAAATTTATATCTTCGACACCATCCATTTTACAAAATTATATATATAAATTTTTAGAAATAGTACATTCTATCTAAAATATATTTTAGCTTCTAAAATAAAATATATAGTTCATATATCACCGATCTCTATATTTCAGATATAAGTAATCCATTCTTTGAAGACTTAGTGGGAAATAAGGATGATATAACTGAACCGGCAACCAACATTGCTAATCAAAATACAAACACTGTGAAACCTCATCAAAGGTAAAAATAAACTCAATAAATGAAGATATGTGCACAATATATATGCAGTGAAGTCAATATATATTTATATTTATATATTGTTTTAATATTTTAGGCGAAAGATTCCTGCTGATAATCCATTCTGGTCTGATGGAGAAATGCCTTCGAGTGATGAAGAAAATGAAATGCCGGTACCTGCTCCAAGGTAATCATAATAAAACATATTTTAAAATAGGATTAGTAATATTTTATCAATTTATTAAAATTGATAACATATTATATTGCATCCTATGAAGTACTCGTGTAATGTCTTCATGTTTCAAAGACGATAAGATTGTTGTTGAACTTTGGTTTTTAATCATGTTCGAAGTTGATCCAAAATATGGTGCTCTGTTTGGAGACACACAATTTGATAAAGTATTTTGAGGACAAAGTTTGTTGATTTAGAATCAGTTATTATAAAAATCACGCATTGATATTACATATAAACAGTAGACAAGTTTCAATCTATAAAAGTGATTTAAGACTACTCTTAGTTTTTCATTATGTTGTATTTTTTTTTTTTTTATTCATAAATAATAGAAACTGTTTCTTGGTTTTGGGAACACAATTTAAGAGCACAAGCTTCAATCAAGATATTTATTTTCATGCTAAATGAAAAAAGTAAAAAATATACTTAAGTCAACACTTAAGAATACAACTACAGTTGACAATCTCATTAATTTTATTAATTAATTATTTTTCTAAGATGAAATTATTTCAACGTGTAGACCATTGACGATTCTTAATTCAAAATTCGAAAATATATATTATATTGAATAAGTTCAAGTTATCTCTATTTATCCTTTTTTTTAATGTAATTAGTGAAATGTGATTATTATGAAAACGGTTTTTGAATCGTGTCTCACACCTTATACTTAAATGTTATTCCTCATTGTCTTCCATAAAAAATACTGTCATACGTTTTTTCACATGCCATTCTTAATAACTCTATAATAAATTAATATCTATATAATAAATTATATAGATTTAAACTTAACTGTTTGTTGCTACTGCATGGTTTGCAGAATAATGCTATAATTTTGTTATTTATGCCTTTCATTTTAAAATTAAAGATGACACATGGGTAATAGCTACTAAATTTGAAAACTGTTATATCTTGAATCAAGTCACTACTATACTTTTTACTTTCATACTTACTTTATAGTTTCTTTAGAAACTTCCATTGAACACGCATATGATGGAATCATCATTTTGGTATGAAATTCAAAATTTGAGTGAAAAGAGTGATTAATTTAAATTTTTGCTTAGGTTTTATATTTTTGTTGTAGGCTATTATTATTGTACACTAGTCTTTCTCACTTTTGCGTCTTGGTGTCTTTTTTCTATAAATTTCAAATTAACGACTACAGAATTTGAATTTTGGGTGCTTTCTTAAGTTTTTTGTATTAAGACACGTAGCATATTAGTTTTGTTTTAATCTTCTGCGATGTTTGCATCTTTTCTTCTGAGAAAATTTTGAAAAACTAAAAATTTACAATTTTATTTTTAATACGAGTCTGCTTTCTAAAGAAAGTCTTATTTTTTTTTTTACTATTTAACGAGTAATCTCTTCAATACTTATTGTTCCTCATCGTGTTCAATTTTCTATATATATTGTGTCTAATGATTAGGCGAAACAGCAGCGTTGCAATATAATTTTAAAATCTACTCGTTAATTTAAATAAATTACACTTACAAATATTTATATTTACATCAGTATCTAAAACAATATTGTTTTTATTGTAGTCTTGTTAGTACCATACCTACCCTACCCATCCCATACCATGAACAATTTTTTTATAATAAATTCAAAATTAATTTTTTTAACTTACAACAAAATAAACGTTTTTCAAAATAAACGAAAAAAGAAAATAAACATTTTTGCATATCTTTACGTTTTAAGTTCTTCGGAACATTTTGGCATACCTTAGAAAAAATGAATGTATGTGTATGTGTCTGAGTTGCGGATACAAATTTTCGTTGGCGATTTCGGGAACACAGGTCAACCGATTTGAATAATTCAATCGATTTGTATTGATAAGGAGACGTGCTGATTAGTTTTTGGCAGAGGCAGATCGAGCCGTTTCGAAGATTTTGGACAAAATGTGCCGAAAATGGTAACTGATTTTTTGAGAGAACGGAGCGTTCGATTTGTATGATTCAAAAAGCATTCAATTTGTATTGACGAAATAAAGAACTGATGAAATTTTTTGGAAGGCAGGTCTTGTAGTTAAGGAGATCCAATAAGAAAAGTGAAAAAATGCCATTTGGCGGTTAAAAATGATCATTAGACATATGCACAATAAATTATATTTTATAGATATTTTACTTACAAGAACAAAGTTTGTTTACTTTTCTATGGGTTCCGTACCAATGTTTATCCGTTACACGCGACGCCCACGCGCTTCGATATTTCGATTCTACACAGCTAACGTATCGCCATTGCTTTTAAAAAATGTTTAAAATTTCCAAAATATTTCAAAGTATAAAAAAATCATCAATTTTTTAAAAAGGTCAATTTATTTAAAAAATTAAAAAATCTCAAAGATCGATTTTTTCAGGTTCTAAAAGAAAATTGATTTTTTTTTTTTGGTACGGGAAGTCCAGCATCTTGCCTTAAGGCACGATACTATGCATTACTAATTATGATTTTTTTTTTGAAAAATTGGAATTTTTCTATAAAGCGTCGCCTAGCGTCGCAGTCTAACGTTTAAAATTATAAATTTTGTAACAGAACCCCTAGAAATGTAAACAAAAAATGTAGACCAAATTTTTTTAATAAAATATCTGATAATTTGAGCTGAATATGTCAAATGATCATTTTTGACCATCTAATGACATTTAACTTGTTTCATTGGATCTCCGAAACTGCTTGACCTGCCGTCCCAAAAATTTAATCAGTACATAAGTACAAATTGTCAAGTGGATGTCGTCTATAGATGTCGGTTGTAGCGATAGGGTTAAGTGTTGATTACTGTTGATATATAAAAAATGTATATTTCATAAATATTTCGCTTATGTTAACTAAATCTTGGACACTATTTTGGAAAATACTCTGCCACGTGCAAACCATGCACCTTCCAGGTTATATTTTCACACTCACCTTTTCAGTGTAATTAGTTGCGTATGAAGGATGTGTGTCAAGTGGATGTCGTCTATAGATGTCGGTTGTAGCGATAGGGTTAAGTTTTGATTACTGTTAATATATAAAAAATGTATATTTCATAAATATTTCGCTTATGTTAACTAAATTTTGGACACTATTTTGGAAAATACTCTGCCACGTGCAAACCATGCACCTTCCAGGTTATATTTTCACACTCACCTTTTCAGTGTAATTAGTTGCGTATGAAGGATGTGTGTCAAGTGGATGTCGTCTATAGATGTCGGTTGTAGCGATAGGGTTAAGTTTTGATTACTGTTAATATATAAAAAATGTATATTTCATAAATATTTCGCTTATGTTAACTAAATTTTGGACACTATTTTGGAAATGCTCTGCCACGTGCAGACCATGCACCTTCCAGGTTATATTTTCACACTCGCCTTTTCAGTGTAATTAGTTGCGTATGAAGGATGTGTGTCAAGTGGATGTCGTCTATAGATGTCGGTTGTAGCGATAGGGTTAAGTTTTGATTACTGTTAATATATAAAAAATGTATTTCATAAATATTTCGCTTATGTTAACTAAATTTTGGACACTATTTTGGAAATGCTTTGCCACGTGCAGACCATGCACCTTTCAGGTTATTTTTCACACTCACCTTTTCAGTGTAATTAGTTGCGTACGAAGGATGTGTGCACTACATAATTAAAATCGTGTCATAGTCATAGTAAGTACATTCGTATGCGTAATTTCCGTTACTCACACTTACAACTGACGACTTACGACTTACCTCGACAGATATGGCAAACGAGTGGCAATAACCTTTGATGATTGTCTTATTGTCTTTTCCTCATGTTAGCGTTTTTTCATCGTTTCATTATTATGTATTAGAGAGAGGAACGGTGTCTATTTATAAATATTGGAGATTAACTTTCAAAAATAACGCATTCGTTTCCATCATCGGTTAAGGATCATTCACTTTTGGCATTGAATGGTCGGTACTCCTATGTAGAACTTACTCTATATTTTTATCAGAAAATATTATCATTGAATTAAATATAATCAAAGTAATAGTAATAATATAAGAGTATTAGAAGTGTTTCAGACTTATTTTAGTTTTAAAACGGATTCTATTATTATGCTAATAGTGATTGATTCTAACGACCTTCATGTATTCAAGAAAACATTGAGGGATAGTTTATTTTCATGCATAGTACTTGCAAGAAATTCCAAGGGTCGATGATAAATTTACAATTAAGTTGTCAACTATCAATATTAATTCGGGATCATCAAAATATATTTTCTACGCTAAAATATTCATGTACTTCTATGACTACAATATTTGTCATTATAGGGTTGCTATTATTGATTCCCAAAAAGTGGTTGCAGTTTGGTACAATACCAACAATGTACATATTTTCTTTTATATTTGTTTATTTCCAAATTGTCCTACAATTAACGAAACATTTTTTTTGAATTTCTTATTCAAATTCAAACTGTTTTATGATTGAGAAGACATTCATAGCTATGTTATTAGAGAACCTTGGAGTGGTGAGTTTTCTAAATTATGGAAAAATTAACAAAATAGTCACCGCTTGTTGTAAAAACTATATTTACCAATTATATGCTCATTATAATCTTATAAATTATAATGCATAAACTTATTTACTAAAACACAAATTTAAAAAAATATCTTTTTAATCCCTGCTCACTAGTCTTCCATTTTCATGTCGTCAACATGACTCCGATAATTTTTTATAACAACTTTTAATTATGGATTTTTTTATTTTGCTTTACGGGAACCTAGTGTAATAATATTTGGTAAAGAAATTGAGAAAATTAGTGATGTGATTAAATATCGATATTATTGATGTCTCCTGCAAACAAAACAGTTATAATGATCAAGTAAATCTTTAATATTTAGTGTACCTACAGACACTATAATTTTTTAAATATTTAAAAAACAATCCTTTGTTAAATTCTATATTTAGATACTACTACTCAGTACTTAAATAGCATAAATGAAAATTTCATGGAAGAGATGGGGGAATTATTTA